ATTGGCTGAACCCCAAATGGGGCCGAACCCCAAAATCGGCTGAACCCCAAATAGGGACAAGACTGAACCCCAAAAGGAGCTGAACCCCAAATGGGGCAGCACCCCAAATGGGGCCAGACCCCTGAACCCCAAATGGGGCCAAACCCCAAAATTGGCTGAACCCCAAATGGGGCCAGACCCCTGAACCCCAAATGGGGCCAAACCCCAAATGGGGCTCAACCCTTGAACCCCAAATGGGGCTCAACCCCTGAACCCCAAATGGGGCCAGACCCCAAAATCGGCTGAACCCCAAATGGGGCCGAACCCCAAAATCGGCTGAACCCCAAACGGGGCCAGGACTGAACCCCAAATGGGGCTGAACCCCAAATGGCCTGAACCCTTGAACCCCAAGTGGGGCCAGGGCTGGACCCCTCTACCCCAAACGGGGCCGAACCCCAAAATCGGTTGAACCCCAAACGGGGCCAGGACTGAACCCCAAATGGGGCCGGACCCCAAATGGGGCCAAATCCCTGAACCCCAAAATCGGCCGGACCCCAAATGGGGCTGAACCCCAAAATCGGCTGGACCCCAAATGGGGCTGAACCCCTGAACCCCAAAATTGGCTGGACCCCAAATGGGGCCAGAACTGCACCCCTGAACCCCAAGTGGGGCCAAACCCCTGAACCCCAAATGGGGCTGAACCCCAAAATTGGCTGAACCCCAAATGGGGCCAGACCCCAAATGGGGCTGAACCCCAAAATCGGCTGAACCCCAAACGGGGCCGAACCCCAGAACCCCAAATGGGACCAAACCCCTGAGCCCCAAATGGGGCCGAACCCCAAAATTGGCTGAACCCCAAATGGGGCCAGACCCCAAATGGGGCTGAACCCCAAAATCGGCGGAACCCCTGAACCCCAAATGGGGCCGAACCCCGGAACCCCAAATGGGGCCGGAAGTGCAGGAATTCCCTTTTCCCCATCCCGCTTTTCCGGAGTTACCCCAAAATCCAGCCCAGAAATCCCAAAATAATCCCCAAAATCCAGGAAAAAGTTCCCAAATTTATTCCCAAAATCCAACAAAAAATTCCCAAATTTATTCCCCAAATCCAGCCCGGAAATCCCAAAATAATCCCCAAAATCCAACAAAAAATTCCCAAATTTATTCCCCAAATCCAGCTCAGAAATCCCAAAATAATCCCCAAAATCCAACAAAAAATTCCCAAATTTATTCCCCAAATCCAGCNAATTCCCAAATTTATTCCCCAAATCCAGCTCAGAAATCCCAAAATAATCCCCAAAATCCAACAAAAAATTCCCAAATTTATTCCCCAAATCCAGCCCGGAAATCCCAAAATAATCCCCAAAAACCAGCAAAAAAATTCCTAAATTTATTCCCAAAATCCAACAAAAAATTCCCAAATTTATTCCCCAAATCAGCCCAGAAATCCCAAAATAATCCCCAAAATCCAGGAAAAAATTCCCAAATTTATTCCCAAAATCCACCAAAAAATTCCCAAATTTATTCCCCAAATCCAGCCCAGAAATCCCAAAATAATCCCCAAAATCCGGGAAAAAATTCCTAAATTTATTCCCAAAATACAACAGAAAATTCCCAAATTTATTTCCCAAAATCCAGCCCAGAAATCCCAAAATAATCCCCAAAATCCAGGAAAAAATTCCCAAATTTATTCCCAAAATCCAACAAAAAATTCCCAAATTTATTCCCCAAATCCAGCCCAGAAATCACTAATTTATTCCCCAAATCCAGCCCAGAAATCCCAAATTTATCCCCAAAATCCAGCAAAAATTTCCCAAATTTATTCCCAAAATCCAGCAAAAAATTCCCAAAGTTATCCCCAAAATCCAGCCCAGAAAGCCAAAATTATTTTCCTTCTTTCCCCCCCGATTTTCCCTGTTTTTCCAGGATTTTTTCCCTGATTTTTCCAGATTTTCCTCCTGGTTTCTGATTTTTTTTTCCCCTGATTTTTCTCCAGATTTTTTCCGGATTTTTTTCCCAATTTCCTCAGATATCTTCCAGATTTTTTTTTCCTGATTTTTCCAGATTTCCCCCCGATTCTTCCTGCATTTTTTCCTGTTTTTTTCCCCCTGCTTTCCCTAAATTTTTGAATTATTTCCTCCCTAATTTTTCCTTATTTCTCCGGATTTCCCCCTGATTTTTCCTGCATTTTTCCCTGTTTTTTTCCCTGTTTTTTTAAAGTATTTTTCCTGATTTCCTTGGATTTTAAAATTATTTCCCCCCCTCATTTCTCCTTATTTTCCCTGATTTTTCCCGATTTTTCTCCTGGTTTTTCCTTATTTTTCCTCGGATTTCTCCTGATTTTCCTCCTGATTTTTTCCCGATTTCCTTGGATATTTTCATTATTTCCCCCCCCACCCCGATTTTTCCTGATTCCTTGGGATTTTCCCAGATTTTACTCCTGATTTTTTCCCTATTTCATTATTTTCCCGGGCTGGGTGATCCCAGGATTTCCCGGCGTCATTCCCGGGGTTTGTGGGGTCGGGATCCCTGCCTCAGTTTCCCTGTGGAATTCCAGGGGCTCTGTCCCGGTTCCAGGGTTCGTTCCTGATATCCCGACCCCATTCCCGATATTCCGATCCCATTCCCGATATCCCATTCCCATTCCCAATTATCCCATTCCCGATTATCCCAATCCCATTCCTGGTTTTCCCATTCCCAGTCCCGATATCCCAATTCCATTCCTGATTTTCCCATTCCCATTCCCAGTTCCCAATCCCGGTTCCCAATCCCAT